GGGGGCGGCTGGGAGTCTGGGGGGGCCTAGGAGGACAGAACCAGGTGGGTTGGGGGGAGCGGAGCTAGGTCACCGGAAACCCCAGTTTCCTGTGGCCCTGAGAAGTCTGGCCACGGAAGAAGAGGGGGGCTCCATGGAGGAGGAAGGAGTGGGCCAGCTTTCGGACTCGGGGCCTTGCGGGAAGGGTCTCGGGCGGGACACTCGGCACCAGCGGTCCCCAGGATCACTGGTGACCGCCCCTCCAGCCCCGCACTCCACGGCGCTGAGGCCCCGCCCTCCACGGCGCTGAGGCCCCGCCCTCCACGGCGCTGAGGCCCCGCCCTCGCTGGCTCGGCCAAAACTCGCATGCGCAGACCACCGCGCTCTCTCACCCCTGCTGACCTCGGGACTTTCTCTTCCTGAGACCTCCACCCTTGGCCAGACGCCCACCCAGCTTTGGAAGACAGAGACCCCAGCCCTGCCCATACCTGAAAGAAGCCGGGGGCCATGGGGCCTGCAGCCATTGCGTCATTGGGAGGCATGCTGCCCATCACCGGGCTGGGGGCCGCTGCGGCGCTCTGCACGGGTGGGGGAGACAGCGAGGCCCTATCAGGACATTTCCTGCAGGCTGGGTCCCCCTCCTCTCGGCAGACAGCTAGTCTCATGGGACAGCAAGATTTGAACCCAGGGACCAGCAGTTAGCGTAATGGCTATGTCGCTGGATTCCCATGTAGTCGACCGGTTCGCATCCCGGACCCGGTGGCTTAAACTCACGCCGGGCGCGTGTGCGTGCATGCCCAAGATCCCGAGAGGAGAATGGAGGAGAAGGGATTGCTGCGTGGCCATTCCTCCTGGGGGGTGATTTCTCGCTTTCTGTCTCTCTGTCTCTGTCTGTCTGGTGGGCGCACGTGCCCTATAGCAAAAACCTCTCAAAAAAAAAAAAAAAAGATTTGAACCCAGGCCCTCTGATCCTCTGTTCACGCATGCAGAAGGAGGGGGGGGCGGGGTTCTAGGTCTCTAGGTGTGTAAAGGGCAGGTGCCTCTGCTCCGCCAGCCTTCAATGAGCTTCAACAGTTCTGGGGATCCCACGCCCAGGAATGGGTCTAAAGATGCTAAGGACTCGGGAACCAGCAGTTAGCGTAATGGCTATGTCGCTGGACTCCCACGTAGTCGACCGCGGTTCGTGTCCCGGACCTGGTGGCTTAAAACTCACGCCGGGCGTGTGTGTGTGTGCGTGCCCAAGATCCCAAGAGGAGAATGGAGTAGAAGGGATTGCAGCATGGCCATCCCCCCTGGGGGGTGATTTCTCGCTTTCTGTCTCTCTGTCTGTCTCTGTCTGTCTGGCGAACGCACGCGCCCTATAGCGAAAACCTCTCCAAAAAAAAAGATGGTAAGGACCCAGGACTTAAATACACCTCACCCAGCCAGCTGACTTCCTGCCGTTCACTGACTCCACTCCCACCCCCACTGGCCCTGTGTCCTTCTGGCTGGTAAAGCAGCCCTGCTGGGCCTCCAGCTCCACCCAAGAGACCCCAAATAATCACACCCCAAATCGACCTACAGTTGGGGGACCAGCAGATGGCATAATGATTACGTGGCTGGATTCCCACATAGCTGACCCTGGTTGGAGTCCCCGGACCCATGGCTTGGAACTCATGCTGGGAGAGATTTGTGGTGTGGTCATCCCCCACCTCCAACCCCCTGGGGTGATTTCTTGCTTTCTGTCTGTCTAGTGAGAGCATGCACACTATAACAAGAATCTAAAAAAACAAAACAAAACAAAACAAAACAAAAACCTAAAACAAAAAAACTTGATCTGCAGTTTAATTTTAAATTTTTTTTGTGGGGTGGGGTTTTGCTATAGGGCGTGTGCGCTCACCCCAGAAAGAGAGACAGAAAGCGAGAATTCACCCCCACCCCCAGGGAGGATGGCCACGCCGCAATCCTTTCTCCTCCATTCTCCTCTCAAGATCTTGGGTACCTATGCACACACGTCCAGCATGAGTTTCAAGCCATGGGTTGGACTCCAACCACAGTCGGCTACATGGGAGTCCAGTGATGTAACCATTACATTATCTGCTGGTCCTGATCTGCAGTGTCAAAATTTTTTAGAGGGACCAGCAGTTAGCGTCATGGCTATGTAGCTGGGCTCCCACATAGTTGACCATGGTTCGCGTCCTGGACCCAGTGGCTTAAACTCACACCGGGCGCGTGTGTGTGTGCCCAAGATCCCGAGAGGAGAATGGAGGAGAAGGGATTGCGGCGTGGCCATCCCCCTGGGGGGTGATTTCTTGCTTTCTGTCTCTCTGGCGAGCACACGTGCCCTATAGCGAAAACCTCTCAAAAAAAATTATTTTTAGAAAGATTTTTGCTATAGGGTGTGTGCACTCTCCAGAGAGACAGAAAGTGAGAAATCACCCCCAGGGGGGATGAACATGTCCCAATCCCTTCTCCATTCTCTTTTCGGGGTTTTGGGCACGCACGCACATGCGCCTGGCAAGAGTTTTAAGCTGCCGGGTCCAGGACTTGAACCGTGGTTCACTATGTGTGAGTTCAGCAATGTAACTATTATGCCATCTGCTGATCCCCCAATCTGCAGTTTTAAGATGAACCTCCCAGAAGTGGGAGGTGAGGGAAGGGCAGTGCCCCTCCTGGTGCCTGGGAGGTGGGCATGACCCACACAGCCCTCCAAAGCCCTCCATGCACAACCCCGCTGCCCCTTCCTGCAGGAGGGAGGATTCAGAAGGAGGTACACGCTTCAGGCTTTCAGACCTTAAAGATGGGGCTGGTACTGGGACCATCAGTTAGCGTAATGGCCATGTTGCTGGTTCGAGTCCTGGACCCGGTGGCTTAAACTCACGCCGGACGCGTGTGCATGCGTGCCCAAGATCCCGAGAGGAGAATGGAGGAGAAGGGACTGCAATGTGGCCATCCCCCGTGGAGGGTGATTTTCTTTCTTTCTGTCTCTCTTTCTGGCGAGAAGCAAAACCTCTCCAAAAAAAAAAAAAAAAAAGAAAAAAGAAAAAAAAGATGGGTTTGCTGGAGAAGGGGGGTTCCGACCTCTGCCAAAGGCAGAGCTGGCAAGGAACAGGTTGACAAGCAACTTCCTCTGGGGGGTTCCAAGTCCCAGACCCGTCTGCCTTTGGGGCCCAGAGGAGGGAAGAGGGTGGAGAAATACATCTCAGGGTAGGGGGCGGGACTTGACTGCTTACATCAGACCCCACCTCCTCGGCCAGGCAGTGAACCCCCGAGAGGAAGGGATGGTCCGTCCGCCCCTGGCGCCAGTGCAAGGAGCACAGTGCTGCTCTCTGGGGTGCTGCAGCCACCGGGGCTCAGAGGTTAACCACTTTGCCTGCCGTTCACAGCGTTTCCTGTCCCCCCCTGTCCCCGCAGCGGGGTCAGGGCCCCTGGGCCAGCAGAGAGGAGCCCCTGGAGAAAGACTCCTCCCTTCTGCTGCAGGGCTGCAGCCCGGTCCCCCTCCCTGCCCTGTCCGCAGCCTCCGGAAGCCCCAGGGCCCAGAACACAGCATTGGAAAGCCACGTGACCCTGGAGGGGGGGTCACAGCCCTCAGCACCCCTATTCCTGTGCTAACCCCCCAGGTCTCCTTCCCTGGGCTTCAGCCCCCCACCGCCAGATACAGGGCACTATGGCAGGGGACTGCTAGGCTCACAGGTGCCCGCCTCTGGCTGTGGGTGTAGGGGAGGCATCTCGGAGCAGGGGTCGGTCCTGCCTGCAGACAGGGGACCCCCACCGGGGGCGCCTGAGCATTTCCTGGTTGGAGAAGCAAAGCGGATGGGTGGGGGGAGCTGCCACCGAGCTCCGAAACGCGGTGACCGGTGACGGGAGGAGGAGGATGGGGCGCCAGCTCCCGCGGCTCCCCGATTCTAGGTTTGGAGGGGTTAATCCTAGGCCAGTGCGCCCTCCCGAGCTAGTGGCCCCAGCTGGACCCCTACGTCAATCATCTCAGAAGAGGAGCCTGGGGCGGACCGCGTTGTCTTAGCAACGGGCTGGGTGCGCTCGCGTTTCCTGGAGACGCGGAGGTCGGCTGGGGAGCAGGGGAGGGGCGCGCAGAGCCCCTACAGTGTGGGAGGGCGGCAGGAAGGGGCCCCCCGATGCGAGGGAGCGGCGGGCAGGGCTCTCTCCAGTGAGAGTGGCCACGGCAGGACGGGCACCCAGCTTCTGCCGGTGGCCGCGGGGACCTCATCACCTCGGGGCCAGGGTGCATGGTCCTTCGGTGCCCGCCCCATCTCCCCGACGCGCCCGGCGTTGCCATGGTAACAGGCACGCCTCGGGAAGCGCGTTCGCGTGGACGTGGATTGCGCGTGCGCGCGCGGAGAGGGTTCCCAAAGAGGCTGCTTACACTTAGGCAGGGTAAGAGGGGGGCTGGGAGAGCCCAGAAGGGGGAACCAGGGCCCAGGGGACACTGCAGAGGTGCAGGGAAGGGGCTGGGAGGCGAGGGCCGGAGCACGAAGGTCTGGACACTCCCGGGGTTCCAGTTCTGGAGGGACTAGGAAAAGGGGACCACTCCGGAGCTGGAAGGCAATGCAGCTAAAGGGGGTGTCAGGATGAGCCTGGCCCCCAAGAACGTGCATACAAGGTGCCTGGATGTCTTCAGGGACGTGGGGGTCCCCACACACTCAGAGGCGCACCCCGGCTCTGCTGGGCTTGCAGGGCAGCGCACAAGGGAGGGGGCCAGAGGGAGCCACTGGGGCTGACGCCCCCAGAAGCCAACAGCTGAGCCTCCAAGCCTTCCCTGGACTGCCCGAAGGGACTCAGGGCCAGATCCAAGCGCAGAGGATGAAGAGGGACAGCCGTCTGCACCCCCCATGACAAGTGCCACCCACCCCCAGCCCCCTGACCACAGCAACTCAGAGGGAAATTGAGGCCAGAGATGTGGAGTCAGGGGCACTTCACCCAGCAAGGTCCCAGTGCCTCCAGCTCCATCAGCATCACCCCAGGATCCCTCCCCAAAAAGCCCTGGGGTACATAGTGGTCCCCCCCACGTACACAGCTGAGCAGAGGGAGAGGGGCGGAGCGAGAGTGCTTGTGGTGGGAGGAGCCTCCCCCACCCAGTGAGCCACCTGGCCTGCTGGGGAGGTGGCAGGGTCCCCAGAAAAGGCCATGACCTAAGGTCCTGACCCAATCTCACCCACGCCCTGGCCCCACCCCCATGGACGGGGACTCACATAGTCCTGGAAGGCCTTGGCCTCGCTCGAGTGTTCGCAGGCCTCTCTGCGGTCGGGCGCTGCACAGTACAGGTCCCAGAACACACTGTGGGCGGCAGGGGGATGATGGTTGCTCCCTTCCCCCTTCCCTTCTCTCCCCAACCGGGCCCCCTCCCCTGCCAGCACCCTCTGCACGTACCACCACCAGGAATGCAGGAACCCCGGGGGCTCCCCCAGCGTGATGTTCTTCTCCCATCGGATCTGCGGAGGAAGGGAAGTGGGGGAGGGGAAGGATGACAAGTGAGAGGGCCGGCGCCGCAGCAGCCCCAGAGCACACAAGAGGACTACCAGACCAGCACGAAAGAGTTGAGAGGGACTGAGGAGCGGGCAGTAAACTCTGAGGGAGTTGCCTCAGAAGGGCAACTCCACCCCACCTGGAACCCCAGCCAAGACAGGTGTAGCCCTACCCTCACCCTGGGATGTGGTAGGGAGGGTGGGGAGGCTCTTACCTCTGATAGGAAGGTCTGGGCTGACTTCTGGGCACCAACATGCAGTAGGTATTCATACACATACAGCGCTAACCTGGCGGGACAGGCAGGCAGCCAGGCCCAGGTGAGCCCCTCAGCAAGCTGACCCTCAGCCTCACCCCCTGCCCGCTCCTGGGCTTCCAACCCGGCCCCCAATCCTCCCAAGGAGATGGCCTCCTCACCAGCTGCTCTGCCCAGAAAACTCCTATACATCCATCAACACCCAGTCCGTGGGGCCCCTCCCCAACTCCAGACTGAATTCTGCTCCGTTCAACGCTCCCTGGTGCACCATGTCCTGCTAACATGGAGATCCCAGGGTGACCTCACTCTTGGGGTCTCCTGCCTAGAAAATGGGCTCCCGGAGGGCACCCTGGGCGGGGCTGTGTATCCAGAAGAGCCCCTGAGTCTACTCCCTCGACTCCCCATTGTCCTCTTTGGGATGGGCACCGGCCATGAGCGATGGCTCAGACTCCCGCGGAGACTGGGAGGCAGGGCCAGCCTAGCCACTCTCCCATGGCTCTGCCCCGAGGGAGTCCCCAGTTCACAGGAGACGCCCTGGCCCCCCGCTTCCTCTGCCGCTGCCCATCCCCAGCGCGCAGACCTGGGTCGCCCAACACCCAGCCAGGAGGCTCCGGTCCCGGCCTCTCGGGGGCCTCACGGGGAGGCCACCTCGCCCCAGCCTCTTCCGTAGCAAATGGCAGTGGCATCGCCCACTCCCCTGTCACCAGCTCCTGCAAGGTTCTCCCCGGTGCCACGCGGAGGGCTCCCCTGGCTGAGCCCCTGGGAAGGGGCCCGGAGGCCCCTCCAACGGCCTCCAGCCCAGCCGCCTCCACACCCTGCCAGGGGCCTCCCTCCCTGGCTGAAGGCCCCGGCCTAAAATAACCTCCCTTTGACTCACAGCTCTGCTGTCCCTCGGCCCCCAGCCAGGCTTCTGGGGTCCATCCACACAGCCGCGCCCCCACCTCCCACTCTTCCCACTCTGGGCTCACCTCCCCGCCAGATCGCCAGCCCTTCTGTCCCGCCCCAGCCCCCGGGTGGGGCGGGGGACGTGGGGACTTCCTGCCTTCCCCTTTTTTCCCTCCTCTGTGGCTCACCCCGGGTGCCTTTGTGTAGCGACCAGTCCCTGTCCTCCTGCAGGCTGGGTGAGGCTGGCCTCCCTGGGAGGTCCTGGGGTTGTCCCTGAGTACTGGGAGGGGGGGCTCCCACTGGGGGGTGGGGGTGGATAGCGGTGCGAGAATGCTTCTGGGAGCAGCCTGTATCCCTCTGGCTCATGGAAGAAATAAACGTGGAGGCAGTTAAATGGCCTAAGTGCTTAGGGCACTGGGCTCCCACTTCGTCAACCGGGGTTCGAGTCCCGAGTCCGACTCTCGCTGGATGAAAACTCACGCCGGGCGCGTGTGTGTGTGTGCGCGTGCCCAAGATCCCGAGAGGAGAATGGAGGAGAAGGGGTTGCAGAAGGGATTGTGGCGAGGCCATCCTCCCAGGGGATGATCTCTCACTTTCTGTCTCTCTGTCTCTCTCTGCTGAGCACACATGCCCTATAGCAAAAACCTCTCTAAAATAAATAAGTAAATTTAGAGGTGAATTGCATGGCAGGGCTCCATAAAGCCCGTTCGGCAGTGTGGGGTCAGGTGGGCAGCCCAGAAGTGGGGAGCCACGCCCCAGCCCAGCCCCCCTAAGTCTAAATTTCTACCCCTTCTAGCCTCTGGTCAGTTCTTCCTCTGTTTGGTCACCGTCGTGGCTCCTCAGCCTCCAGCTTACCTGCCAGCATCCCTCCATGATCTACCCGCCCTTCCTAGAGGCTTCCTGGGCCATCTACAAAGGCCATGTTGGGGCCGGCAGGTGGCGTGGCGGTTAAGGTGCTGGACTCCCACATGGCTGATGGGGGTTCGAGTCCTGGACCTGGTGGCCTGCTTTCTCACTTTCCTTCTCTCTTTCTCTCTCTCTCTGGTCAAATTAAAATAATAATATAAATAAATAACTTTTTATTTTATTTTTGTTTTTAGAGGTTTTTGCGATAGGGCACGTGTGCTCACTGGAGAGACAGAGAGACAGAGAGACAGAGAGCGAGAAATTACCCCCAGGGAGGATGGCCACGCCGCAATCCCTTCTCCTCCATTCTCCTCTCGGGATCTTGGGCACGCACGCACATGCGCCCGGGGTGAGTTTTAAGACACCGGGTTCAGGACTCAAACCGCGGTTGACTACGTGGGAGTCCAGTGACATAGCCATTACGCTAACTGCTAGTCCCTAGAAGTTTTTGCTATAGGGCGCATGCGCTTGCCAGTAAGACAGAGAGAGACAGAGAGATAGAAAGTGAGAAATCACCCCCCAGGGGGGATGGCCACGCCGCAATCCCTTCTCCTCCATTCTCCTCTCGGGATCTTGGGCACACACGCACACGTGCCCGGCGTGAGTTTAAGCCACCGGGTCTGGGACCCGAACCATGGCTGGTCATATGGGAATCCAGCGCCACAACCATGACACCGCCTCCCGGGTCAATCATTTATTATTTTTAACTTGTCAGAGGGCACCTGTACTACCAGAGCAAGACAGTCGGGAGAGTGGGGTGAAAAAGCATGCCCCATGGGGCAAGGTCACCCCGTAATCCCTTGTTCATTCCTTTCTTTCTTCCTTCCTTCCTTTCTTTCTTTTTTAATTATTTATTTAGTTTTATTTATTCATTCATTTATTTTTTAATTTGAGACCAGAGAGAGATACAGAGAGAGAGAGAGAAGGAAAGTGAGAAAGCAAGCCACCAGGTCCGGGACTTGAACTGTAGTCAGCCATGTGGAGCGTCCAGCACCTTAACCACCATGCCACCTGCGGGTCCCAATCCCTTCTCCATTTCCCATCTCAGCCCCTACCCCAGCTCCCTGCCAGATCTCCTGCCCTTCTGTCCCGCCACAGCCCCTGGGGAAGGTGGAGGGGACGGGACACTTCCTGCCTCCACCTCCCTCCCTCCCTTCCCGTTTTTTCCTCCTCCCTGGTTCACCCCGGGTGCCTTTGTGTGGGTCCCTTTGTGCGGCGTGCATGACCAGCCCCTGTCCACCTGCCGGCCAGGTTCGCATGGGGACAGATGAAGGAGAAGGGGGCGGGACGGTGGTGCCCGTAAAACATGCCACCAGCTGGCCCGTTTTTTTTTTTTTTTTTTTTGAGAGGCTTTTGGCTATAGGGCGCGTGCTCTTGCCAGACAGACAGAGAGAGACATAGAGACAGAAAGCGAGAAATCACCCCCCAGGGGAGATGGCCACGCCGCAATCCCTTTTCCTCCATTCTCCTCTCGGGATCTTGGGCCCGCACGCACATGCGCCCGGCGGGAGTTTAAGCCACCGGGTCCGGGACTCGAAGCGACGTAGCCATTACACTATCTGCTGGTCCCAGGATTTGGGTTTCTTTGGGGCTGGGACCTAAATCCTTCAGGCCCAGCATCTGGTTGAAGACACACAGATGTCCCCCATGCGGCAGGGATGAGGTGACCATGCCACACACACCCCCACCCTCACTTGTATCTGGGTGAAAGCTGGAATACAGTTTGATTAAGGCTTTTTTTTTTTTTTTTTTTTTTAAAGAGAGTTTTTTCCTTTAGGGTGCATGTGCTCACCAGAGACAGAGACAGAGATACAGAAAGCGCAAAATCACCTCCCAAGGGGGATGGCCAGGACACAATCCCTTCTCCTCCATTCTCCTCTCGGGATCTTGGGCACGCACGCACACGCGCCCAGCGTGAGTTTTAAGCCACCGGGTCCGGGACGCGAACCACGATCGACTACGTGGAAGTCCAGCGACACAGTCGTTACGCTAACTGCTGGTTCCCATAACTGGTGTGAGTTTTAAGTTTCTGGGTCCGGGACTCGAACCTCAGTCGACTACGTGGGAGTCCAGCGACGTAGCCATTCCACCATCTGCTGGTCCCTGGAATACGAGTTTCAAAGTTTTGAGCTTAAGGGTGCCTGGAAATGGTGTCCCGCCTTCTTACTGTGAGACAGCCAAGGAAGGGCGGGGGGGCGTGGCAGGTTGGTCACAGAGGGGACACTCATCCTTCCGGACCTGCGGAGGGATCCCAACTGAGTCCGCGCAGCAGAGGCAAGGCAGGGGACAGTCGATCAAGTCTTGGGTTCCTTGTCATCACCAAGGTTCCTTCCAGGGCTCACTCCTGACCTCACCCTCCGCAGTCACCGCGGGACCCCTCCCTGATGACCCCACTGTCCTCTGGGCTCCTTTCTGCTCCAAGGGCTCTCATTGCACTCACTCCGGAGGTAATTGGACCTCAAGGATCCTGCCAGGCACTCCCTCCCGAATGCTTTTCTACTGGTGCTTTAACAACACTACCCGGGTATGTCGCTGGACTTCCACACAATTGACTGCAGTTCGAGTCCTGGAACCGGTGGCTTGAAACGCTTGCTGGGCGCGCATGCGTGCGTGTTCAAGATCCCGAGAACAGAATGGAGGAGGGACTGTGGCGTGGCCATCCTCCCAGGGAGGGGGATTTCTTACTTTCTGTCTCTCTCCATCTCTCTGTCGAACACAGGTACCCTACAACAAAAATCTTCCCCCACCCCCCAAAAAAAGACAATACTGCCAACCACCACGTGTCCATGCAGGGGGACAGTTGTACTCCTTTCAAATGTCCGCCCCAAACTCTGAGTGATCCACTGCTCATTACATAGCTTGCTTGCTTTCTTTTTTTGGAAAGGTTTTTTTGTGTGTGTGCTATAGGGCGCGTGCGCTCGCCAGAGAGACAGAGAGACAGAAAGCAAGCGAGAAATCACCTCCCAGGGGGGATGGCCACGCCGCAATCCCTTCCCCTCCATTCTCCTCTCGGGATCTTGGGCACGCACGCACACACGCCCGGCGTGTTTTAAGCCACTGGGTCCAGGATGCGAACCGCAGGGGACTACGAAGGAGTCCAGCAACATAGCCATGACGCCAACCGCTGGTCCCTCATTACATCAGCTTTCTCAGGGATGGAAAGTGAGCCCAGGAGAGGGGCTCTCCATTGCCCAAAGCCACAGAATAGGCGACAGCTTCAGACTCTCTCCTTCCCCAGGGTCTAGGGAGGTAGGGACCTGTACCATACCTGCCTGAGAGCACCCCAAACTCAGAGCCACGCCCAGAATAAGAGGGATGCTCACCCCTGGAATGCAGAATGCACTGCACGCTGTAGCACCAGGAAAGGGGCCAGAGCACCCCCTCCCGGGTGGCTCCCCACTCAGAACCCTGCAAACGCCCCAGTGGGCCCCAACGCAGCTGCCCGGCCCAGGCTGGACAGGTGTCTGTGCGCCCCGCAGGGCCTCCTCTCTCTAGTCCAGCTCTTTCCGAAGCACCAGGGGTCCCCAAGTGGCCAATTCTCGCCCAACCCGGAAACTTCCGCCTAGGGTGCAAGAAACGGTGCAGACCAGGTTCTCCTCCCCGCCCCCTCCCCCCCCCCTCGTGCCCCCCCCACCGGGCGTTTGCAACATCGCGCACCCAAGTCTCGTTCCTCGGGGAGGTCTCGCGACCCTCCAGGTCTGCTCAAATCTCGCGCCCTCGGGTCTCGCGCGCCCCCGCAAATCTCGCGACCCCTCCAGCCGCGCGGGGCTTTTG